CTGATCTTTCGTCAAAAATTTCATAATTCCGCTCAAAACGATCCGAGAACAATGAATTTGCGAGACGAAGAGGCCGCCATGAATCAGGTAAAACAATATGTTACATGCAATTTGATTGGTCCAATCGCTTGTAGTTAACCAATCGCTGGGCCGTATATAATCGAGCTAAGACTCCCGCAACAAATAATGCCTTCAATGATCTGATTAGTTGAAGCTTTCAGACACGTCCAATCGCAGGGCTGTTTACAAACGGAAAACAGAGAGACTGTTCGGGAGAGCTCGTGAAAACTCGACGATAAGGTATCTGACCGCCCCTAAATTTTTCTCAACGGATTTAGACGATTCACAAAAATGATCAATTTAAGAAATAAAACGGCGGATTTCCGCGGATCCGCGGAAAATTGCCATGTATGGTGTCGGTCTGACCTCGAGCGTCATGTCTACTCTACTAATTTAGCTGTTGTCTCAGCTAGGCTAGTTTAGCTGTTCTCGTAGATCAAAGCTCTTTGATGTGTAACGTCCGTTGCGTCAGTGCTGATTGGTTGAAGCCAAAAGACGCGCGCGTGCGTACATGTCCGAGCTAACGCACGCACAGCAGAGAGCAGCGGACTATTGACTGCTGAGTCGCGCTTCGCTCGAGTGGTGTCTCCACACACGCACGCACGCACGCACGCACGCACTGGCACATACATGCACCCGTGTGGAGTTTGCATGTTCTCCCCGTGCCTGCGTGAGTTTTCTCCAGGTACTCCGGTTTCCTCTCACATTTCAAAAACATGCATGGTAGATTAATGGATGACTCTTAATCGTCCCAAAGCGATTGTAAGCGTGAATATGTGTTCGCGTATGTGTGCCCTGCGATCAGCTGGCAACCAGTTCAGGGTGTACCACACCGACTGCTGAGATAGGCTCCAGCACACATGCGACCCTCGTTCAGATAAGCAGCTCGGATAATGGATGGATAAAGTAAACACAAATATAACTTTATTGACAGCTCTATTGGGATTCTTAATTACAGCAATATAAAGTATTTGGTATCTGTAAGTGTGTTTACATGGCATGGTAAATTTGGGCGGTAACTAAATATACATTTCAACTTCTTATTTGTGCACCTAAAATACAAAACAACACAACCGGAAGTCAGACTGAATTTCGCAGTCCTTTACTCTGGTCAACTCGGCACTGTCCGCAACTTCGAATAGTGTCTGCCTGGGTAGATGTCATTTTCTATCCTGGTGAGCTCCTGGGTGGTCTTTTCCATTTCTCTGATTGATTTAAGGCTCCCATCCATATGTGTTTTCCTATTACCACAGTTAGAGCACTTGACCGCCAGGTGTCAGAAAAGACCAGTGTATTCAAATCAAATCTCTACTGCAAATTATGATCTCGGATTCATCCAGAAATCGCTGATGGTGTAGTGGTACACTCGCCTGATTTGTTTGCGGCCTGTGTGGGATTGGCATGCACTCAGTCAGAGCAGCGTGCACGTGGAAAAGCGCTTTTCCTGTTCTGCTGATTGGCATGAGCCAAGTGCTCTAGTAAATGATGATTTAAAAAAAAACAAAAACGAATGTCCTAAAATAATAAAATGATTACAGTATTATGCTTTCCACAATGTGCAGAAAAGTCGTTTGTAATTAAAAAAAATGACAGAATATGTCCAGCAAAAAACTACGCACACAAGTGTCTGTCAAAAACATTGATTTTATTCATTTATCTTAAAAACTTAAAATAAAGTGCTTTTTATGTACATTATAACAAAAACAACAGTTACAATTCATCTCCATAATACAAAAAAATACAGTTCACAAGTATTTACACAACAAATAATTATAATAACAATAATAATAACTGAAAAAAGAGAAGGGAATCATGCAGGCAAGACCACATTTGTCTACTTTTTTTCAGTCAACTAAGTGGATGACGTTTATTTGGATGAGGCCAAGAAGGAATATTGAATGTTAGTTGTATTGTGCTGGTCTGTATCATGGGACTGTTTGAACAAAACAAAACAAAAATCCTAAAAAAAAATTAAATTAAAATAAAAAAGCTGTAAGGTGGCCATTACATTCATGTCCAGTACAGTAATTGTTGCATCACTGACGAGCCACTCAAAATGAAGCAAGCTGTAATTGCTCTGGAACAAAAAGCTCGTCATTAATAAATATGCACGACAATTAAGGCCAAATGGTAATTGTACATGTCAGTTTGTGTCTTCAGAAAGGCATGTGTGTGCAAAAACAAAACAAAACAAAAAGCATTCTGAACAGCCCCTAATGTTATCATTAGCGTCTAACGTTAACAATGGCAGCATGACTCATGTCCTTGTGAATTGTAAATGCTGGACAGTATGACATGGCACGTTGTTTATTAAAAAAAAAAAAAAAGGCAGAACAAAGGCATTTTAGAATTTTATGAGGTTATCAAGCATATAAAAGCAGGATATTCATTTGATCATGTAGTTAGATTCCCAGGGGCCTTCATTATTTTTTTACTAGGTCCGAAGGGGGGAAAAAATGTAAAGTTGAACAATTTTTTATGAAAAATGCACACAAAAACTCAGCGGCGATTTGCTTCAAAATACATATGTTTGAAGATAATCGCTGAAAACGTGTGACGACTGAGAACAATGTAGTATTGAATTGTTGAGATAGAGCATTGAAACATTTTTTTCACTATTTCAGTTGTCCGTATTTTTTGGGTGCGGTTAAAACAAAGTTCAGAAAAGCACTTGAGCACATTGCGGACGAACGCGCTGACGTCAACAGCTGGAGTTTAGCGAGCCTCTTTTCAGCCAATTTAATACACAATCCCACAGCGTCTGATCGCTTTTGAAGCTATGATTTTCTTTAATTCATTCAAAGGGTAGGCTTCTTAATAGTATTCTCATTTCCACTTTACACGTTACTTTATTTGCCCATGAAGGTGTTTTTAGGGTTTCTCAGTTTTACCTTCACACACATAGTCCAAATAAATAACCCATGTGTGAATTTGCATAGGAAAACATGCTCAGGTGTTAGCTTCACACAAATAGTGCTCGTTTGGCTCACTCTAGTAGTCCTAATATTTAACTTAGAGCGGGTTCAGGCACATTTTACATATGTCTAACAGTTAGTTTTAAACTATAGTGTCACCTATGCGTATATGAGAGGCAGTGTCAGGGGCATTGCTAAGTTAAATTAGTGGCTTGTGTGAGCATATAGCTTGAAAATGGCAGCCAAACAGTTATGTTAGCTCAAATATAAGATGCCTTAGGGTTGGAGTGGTCAAATCTAACAAGCAGCATGTTTAGGCCCAATTCACCCATACTCATCTTTAAGACATTAAAGTAATTTACGGTGAGGCAAAATTGACACAGGTGATGCTTGAAGTCATGTTTATAAACTGTAGTATCGCGGTTTCTGCAAGCTAAGCTAGCAGCTAGTATTACCGTATGGCCTCAGTATCAGGATTGTAGACTTTTCACAGGTCAGTAAGTTAATATCTCAGGGTAAATTTAATAAGAGTTTCTCAGTTAGCTTACAGCCGTTCATTTTCGTGATTGGCCGGCTCTAGAAATAATAAAATCTTAATTAGCAGCATGTTAAGTTCCAATTTCCAAATTTTTGGCACATTTTAAACTGTAGTGTCACATTTAAAGCTATAGGGACTGCACCATTTCCAGCACTGCTCGCGGCTAAGTAGCCTATTTGTCACTGGTGTCGGGCAGAAACCTTCTAAGTCCAAAATCATCGCTTCTCAGCAGACCCCCAAAACAGCACGTTTGTTCAACCATTAACATTGTATCATCAAAGAGAGTAAGCCATTTCAATACTTTAGATAGGCAAATAATTGGTAAAAATAACACCCACACGCCACGACTGACCATTAGTGTACATTTTTTGAAATCATATTACATTTGCCAAATTGTGCCCAATGCGAGCGATATGTAATTGCCATAGCTTTGTCCTCTTTTACTAAAAACAAACATGAAAACTAGATACCATTCCTGCTTTAATATGCTTGATCCACAAACACGAGTGTACTCATTAGCAGTAGCCTATTGTGGCAGCAAAATATTTCTGGGGAGCAAACAGTTCAGTTTAATCTCTACAACACTTATTACACAAGATCCCTTAGAAACTCACACACGCACACAATACTAAGAACAGTCAGTGGATATAATCAAATCCAAAAAATAAACAAGACCACTTTTTGCGCTTTATGCTGTGCAATAATTTTGTCAACTGGATGTGACGGAATAGAGCCAGTTGTTGGTCACTCTGTGTTTGAAAGGTTTTCTGCTGAAATAGATATGGTGAGTGTAGATTTCAGTGATGTGGTGCTTCTATAACGTATCTTCCAAGACATTGTATGGAGTTAGTTATATTATTATCTATAAGCTTCTTACATCTTTGGGAAAAGTCTTAAGTCTCAATAGTGTACACAGAATGTTCACGATGGTCCCTGTTTTTTTTTTTCTCAGTAGTTGCATTTTAATATGGAAATTGTCATTCTGTACAAACACCTTTGATTATTTGTGCTTTCACATGGACTCCAATGATGATGATGGATGTGCATGCAGAAACCTGGGGTGGGGGGGGGGGCTCATATTGAGATCATCTTTACATCCACCCCTCAAACTATTACATTCGTCAAAGTAGGTTTTGGCAAAATGATTGACCTATTAATCGATAAGAAAGTTTATCAATTTTTCAAATTTGCCTTCTAAAAAGGATGTGCTAGTGGAACATGATGTCAACTATGGGGAAATCTATGGGGAAATTGAGCTCCATCTGCGCTAAAGTCCGATAACGGGGTTATTCTGCTCAAGACGACGATGGCAGAAAGCAGGAGTTCAGAACATTCAAATGGTCTCCCATCAAAAAAAAAAAAAAAAATTAATATTTCCCATCTGACTGATCTCATGTTCTCTGCTTTATGCGGGGCAGCTGAGTCTTTCCAAAATTCCAAGTGAATATAAATGATCCAAAACATGAACATGCAAGAAAAAATATTTGGATTGCAACAAACAAACAAATCGGTGTCAAAAGACTAGTTTCATAATCTCATCTATTTAAGACTAACCTTCCGCATTCTGCCGACTTTCCCTGCCCTTTTTTTGGGGTAGGTCAGTATCCAAAACATGAACATGGAAATAAAATATTTCTGAGAGTAAAGCTAATCAAAAGTTTGAAGATCCAGGTTTTTCTTTGACCTGTGACAGTGCCAAACTGAATCCAGCAGAAGGCTAATTTAATATTTTATACTCAGAAGTGACTAAATTGTGAATAAACTGAAGATTCTGGAAACAGTTCCTCAGTATGCGTCTGACGACTTCCTGTTTTCTGCCATATCGCCCCATCCTTTTCCGTGAATGGCTGCTGCAAGTCATTAGTTGTCACTGTCTGATAAACAGCATTTTTAAAATTCAAAAACTTATGAAATATAACATTTTAATTGGATCAAAATATGGATATATAGGCCCAATATGGCAGTCACATTCAATGGTGACCTAATGGAGAGTAAAGGACATGAAGAGGCGTCAGGAACCGGAACTCAGGTCCTGGCTATAGCAACAAGTGACCATAAAAAACATGTGACGTGACCAGGGAAAATCAATCCAGATTTTTAAAAAGTACTATACCTGCTAGCTAACAAAGATTCTATTTTAGTTTGACTTTTTTTTTGTGGTCTGCACAGTTGAATACATTGTTGTAGTAAGAGAAGCAGAGAGTAAGGGAGAGCCGTGTAGATTTGCTGGTTTGTGTCTACTTAAGTGGTCTGCAACTAACTGTTTTTTTTTATTTGTATAAAAACTCCACTGAACACAATGTACTTTAGTGCCTTTAACAAAAGCCTCTGTGTGCTCTTTGCGATCCTAAAATGAAGAAGGTGGGAGAGGTCATCACAACACAATGGCACTATTGCAAGTTAATTGCTTTTTTTTTTTTTTTTTGCACAGAACATAGGATGGTTCAGTGCGACCCTGAAGATTATTATTATTTTTTAAAAATGTATTTATTTTTTAACTCCTTGGCTTTCTGTTAAGTAAAGCGGGGTATACACGTACCGACGTTTACACATGACAAGAAAATCCAAAAGTGTGTTCTTCCTCATCTTAACGTAGAGTGTTACTCAAGATGATCCTCACAGCACACTCTCCACACGTCAACAATGTCTGTCACAGTGCCAAGGCTGAACTGTGAAAGGCAGCGTGGTGCCATGGGGCACCCAACAAGACCAGAAAAAATACAACGAAGAAATAGAGGACTGGTTGAGGCTGTGTTCGGAATCAGGCTAGCCACAATAGAGACGGTCGTTTTATTGTGCTGTTCAAATGTATTGTGAGGGCTTTCCACCAATGAAAAAAATAAACGCATACAATACAAAACGATAAATGGACATACAGTGCTTTGTTTGTATTCCTTTGGTAAAATACACTCAGCTCACAACAATAAAATTTAATAAATGAGTTCAATATTTGTGACTGAAGGTCCAACGGCTAGCTAACTGGCTAATTATGCAACAGCAATTGATGTAAAAAGCCCCAGTGGTGTTCCAAAAATTATTTTCAGTTCTGGGCCTTCCAGTGTGGAGTTTATACTATAGAAATATGGTTCATATTCACTGTAGTCCATCATATAAAAATCCCTTTACTGTTATTTGGGAGTAGGGAAATTAGTGAATGATTCCGAACACAGCCCAAGGGTCTGGTCACTCTAGAGTATATTGTGGTTGCAAACTCTTCTACTTGTTTCCTTGTCATGTTAATAGTGTTGGATGATGTGTCAGACAAGTTCTCCAAAGACTCAACACGACCATTTGCTCCTCTATTTGTGTCAGGCACCAGCTCCAGCATGAGTATCAGCGAGCTTTCTCATTGGCTCGTTGTTTCACGTCGCAATCACGGAGCCAGTGGATCGGCCCATCTCAGTGTTGACCACAAGATAAACAATTGCATAAACTTGTCAAGAATTGAAAAGGGGAAACATTTACGGTTGTTGTTTCCTGAAAAGACACCTCAGGCTAATCGCTCAGGCTAATCGTTCAGTGGCATCCCAAAAAAGGAGGTCTTTCCTGGCTTGGATCAAGGGAGGAAAAATGAGATCAGTGTGCATGTACCCCCGCTTCATGCTCCCATATTTCATACTCGTCGTAGTACCTGTACGATTCCGCGTTGACGCTCGCCATCCGACGTTCCGTGGCATGAATGGAATTTTCTGTTCTGGCCATACATTCAGGAAGGTACAAGTCAGCTTGTTTGCTGCCCATGTCACCACGCCTTTGATTTGATACGATGTCTTACAGTCTCATCGTCGGTCATCATCCACACACTGTTCGTGAGAATGCTTTTTTTTTGTTGTTGTTGTAGAAAGGGTTCTGTCAGTCGTCATCTGTACCTGTGGGTAAAAAACAAAAAACAAAAAACAAAAAAGGACGTTTCGCTTCTCTCACAGAAGCTTCGTCAGTTGTTTTTTGTTTTTTACCCACAGGTACAGATGACGACTGACAGAACCCTTTCTACGATGGAACTTTCCTGTACGACTGAGAGCCTCCACAAGCATTTTGTTGTTGTTGTCATTCTTGAACCTGAATTTGGTGGCTTTTGTGCGGCCGGGGGCAGTAGACGTCTAAGGATAATTGACTTGAAGACATAAATGCTGAGCGAGCGTCTTCTGTCTTGCTTTGCCGCTCTGTGCACGCATATTGGATGCAATTAGTGGACATGAGGAAATGACTAAAACTAGTGGAGAGCAGCTGCCAAGTCCTCAACCCTTGCTGGAGCTGCTCTTCCCATCCCGCGTGCAGCTTGAAAGCAAAGACAATGAGCAAAATAAAAAGCCGCCAGTGATGGTCTCACACGATGGAGTCTTTAATCTCTGAGCCTAACCGCACTCTGGGCCGGGGACAAGTGGGCGAGTACTCCACGTGGCTCTCCTTGACGTTGAGCGGTCGGCCGTCGGAAGCGTCGGAGAAGCTCTTGCTCTCCGGCGAGGACTCCCTGGTGGGCGTGCTGCAGATGTAGTTGTCGTTGAGCGTCTGGTAGCCCTTGTGGTCCGATGTGGACACGGGGATGGTGTTGCCGTTGAGCGGCAGGCTCTCTGTGGGCTTGCTGGCTATCCTGGGCTTCTTCTGCTGCATGCTGGCGCGCTCGCCCTGCTTGAGCATGGACTTCATGTGGTCGCGGTTGCGGTAGATGACGAACAAGGAGAAGACAACGAGGGAGAAGGCGAGCAGCGCGCACACCACAATGAGCTCGTTCCAGTAGGTCTTTGTGTGGATCTGCTCCGAGCGAGACTCGCCAGGAAGGATCATGACCTCCTCGAGCCTCACGTGCGGCGTGCGCGAGTGGCCCACCGCCGTCGTGGTGCTCTCCTGCCGGGGTTCCGCTCGCACGCAGTAGTTGGCCAGCAGCTGGCGGAAGCTCTCCTCCTCCGACCAGCACTCGTAGGTCTCCGTCTTGTCGGCCTGCGCCACCACCACCAGGCTGCCCTCGGGCGTGGCGTACAGGGACTGGCTGGCGCCGTCGCTGTAACGCCACTTCCTCCGGGCCAGGTTGGAGCGCAGCTTGCAGGGCAACACCCGGAATGTGTTGGGAGGAATTGTGATAAGCTGGCAACGGGACCCACCTGTGCACACAAACAACAATAAATTTGTGTGTCATGATGTAAATAAATGTGGGGAATTTTACCAAATTATTAGTTTAGAATTGCCCTCTGTGCAATTCTGAACTACTAAACGTTAATAATAGATTTCTTTGATCGATGTTATATTAATCCCTGAGTAAAGGGTTAAAAAAACATTTGTTTCTTTTCATCAGAACATTTTGTGTTTAAAATGAAATCTTTAAAAAAAATCTTTATATTTATACAGTGGTGCCTTGAGTTACGAGTTTAATTCATTCTGTCACCATGCCGTAACTCAAAACACATGCATCTCAAATCATCTTTCCCGAATGAAATAAATGGAAATTACTAGTAAATATTAGCGATTACATATTTCTACAACAAATGCGTCAAACTTAAGGCCCCGGGGCCAGATCTGGCCCACCACGTTATTTTATGTGGCCCGCGAAAGCAGATCATGTCTCTCAACTTCCATGGGCCTTGCTAAAATATGTACCGAAATGTCAAATTGTACTGTGTAAGACATATCATTGAGATTTCAATGCAATCATTTTGTATTTTACACTCACTTGAACAATAATTCAACAAACAAGAAACAAAGAGTTGAGTTGCCTGATTTCAAAACTAGAAATCCATCAATTTGTTGTGTACAAGTAATAATATCAGTTTGAGTGTTGTAACGGCCCTCCGAGGGAAGACGTAACTCCAAAATGAGTTTGACACCCCTGTTCTACAGCATAATAAAGGAAAAAAAGGGACCATTTGGATATTAGGAATGCTCAGCCAAAAACACTTATTACAGGGATTTATCATCGTTATTTTTATACTTTTAAAAAAACAAATAAAACACTTCAGTCAACATTTGTGACTTAAATATGATGCTTTTCTCAATGAAGGATTTTATGTGAAATTAAAGCAAGCATGCATTTAAAAGTGTTAACAATCCACTTGTTTGCTTCAGGGTACAAGCCACAACATGAATATGTAGTTTTTGCAATATGTGTGTTTTTGTTGAAAAATGTCACTTGCTAAAAAAAAAAAAAAAAAAAAAAACACTCACGGGCAGTTGCTGGTCGGGCAGATCTCGGGCCTGAGAGCGTCCTATTACAAATGGCCGATGTGTCAGCCTCCTCCACATCTTGCTGCCAGTGGCTGAGACATACAGGACACACAAAAACACCCACAGCTGCAGTTTAAGTGACATATTGTGTGCAGATGCGCTTCCATCTAGCGCAAGGCTTTCATTAATGGCATGATCACAGTGATCCCTGATTTCTAATGGAGAGAAAAAAATGGTTTCAAAATCTGAACAAATTGGAGGTTGATTGAACAATACCTTGGAATGGGTTGCATTCATCCTGAGTGGTTCACTGTGTTATGGTGCTGTATTTTATTCATGCTCTATTTTATTCAAAGTATTGCACAGCACATTGTGTTATCACAATTTGGAGCGCTTAGAAAATGTTTGCAGTTCCGACATTACCACCCTACCTGTCAGGCGGTGCCATCCTAACGTCCCGACAAAGGCGTCCGGTCCAGGCGCAGTAAGGATCTCTGGACAGGACACACTCGCCGCAGCTTGGGTAGTTGGAGCAATTGGCCACGGGTACCTCCACCAGGCCCGAGTATGACGACACAAACAAAAGGCCCTGCACAAGGGAGGAACCAAACGCGTATGTTGGTATTCATCAGAACTATCCAGTTTCTGTAAAATCACACACATCAACTCCTTTTATTTTGTATAGGCTTTCTCAGTCGACTCTGGTCTGGTTCTCAACCAATTACATGACCCATCTAGACTGACAACTTTTCTTATTCACAGCTATGGATAATTTAGAGCAGGAATGGGCAATTTAAAAGCTGCGAGGGGTTCCCAATTTTTCATCAGTGCAGTCCACATAGGACCATGAATTTCCTAACAAGATACATGGCAAAAATGCGATTTCAACTATGGACAAAAGACGTGCAAAACACATGCTCTTAATAGATTTCAGTTTTCAATTCATGTGTAAAAGATCCATTATCCTAACCCAACAACAAAGGGATTGAAGAAAACAACAAAATAACCACATGCTGTATTTCCCGCCGTCAGCGCAAAGGGCTCTCTTGCATAGAAATTACCCTTCAAAGACGGCACTAAACTGCTGAACAAGAAACCAACATTAAGTTGAGGAACTCGTTTTGTGCATGTTTTCACAACAATCAACTTACTCAAAATTTAAATATGATGAGTTTTGTTCTTTTCTTCCTTTTCAAAGTGCTTAACTGAAATATTGCTGTATATTTTGTTAGCATAAAAACCCCATTGAGAAGCTTGAAACTGAACTCATAGCCTACTTTCATGCTTCTATTTTACTTTCGGTTTTTTTTTTTTTTTAGAAAACGCACAAAAGCACATACAAAACACGCAAACTCCACTAATGGAATGCCCAAACTGATATTAGAACCCAGAGTTTCAGAACCGCAAGGCTTCACGCTGTACCTCCCATACGGCCTCACGCGCAATTACATAGTTAAAAACAATTTAAGTAAATAGAGCACAAAATCTGTCCAGATGTTCTCCTGCTTGGCGCCAGTAGGGTAGTTAAATTGGGGGTGACCACGCATTCACGCAATATTGTCTTCAACTCATTTTACCAGCTATGACGCGCACTCTATGGAGTCTATATTAAGGCTGTCCTTCCCAGTGGTATATTAAACAAACATGACTGAATCTTGTTTGTCTTTCATCGGCCAGAAAACATGGGAAAGTAGCTCTGGCTTTATTAGAATGACATAATCTTGTGATAAGAGTCCATTTTGGCCTGCGGGAGAGGCCATTATGTCATAAAGAAAGGAAGGTAATGAAATTGAGCTGCGGCTAAAACGCCAGCGAGGATCATAAACTCTGCTCCAGATGGCCAAATAACTCTTAAGAAAGCGCGGCAAGATGGCCCCAGAGGGGAGGGGATGTCTTCGGGCAGCATGGTAAATTTAGCTCTCGTGCTGTTTTTCTCTCTGACTTTAACAAATTATCATCGAAAAAGTTGTGTAAAATGTCGTTACCCTCTGAGGGTCCAGTTCGATGTGTTGCACGGGCTGCGGGTCGGCAAACAGAACCATCTCTTCGATGATGTGCATCTTGTCGTTAGTGTTGATGGCCTTGTGCAGCTTTCCGTCATCTGGGCACAACAGGAAAAAAAAAAAAAAAAGGTTGCAGGTTTGAAACCTACCACATGGTAAACTATGGACTTTTCGGGAAATATATCTGTGAGAGAGCCCTCCCGCTATCATCACCCACACCAAGTTTCTCTCCCCGATGCATGATTAACTTTTCTGGACAGAGAACACCGCATTTGACACTCCTGCTATCATGTCAAGGTCAAAAAAAGAATGCAGAGCTGCATTCAGTTTTGTTGAATGAGACAGGGCTGATTTTTAGCAAGACCAAAATATATGGTGTGAGAATTCTTGATCCTTAGGTTATTTTGACAAAAGCATTCCACTGATATGTTATTAAGGCAGCTGGCAACTATTTTGAATTGTGAAAATAACACTGGTCAAAATGGATCAAAATGTTGCCACAGTTTGGAATAGTCCTCACAAATTCCGATGTGGTTTGTGTTTTTTTTGTTCAACCTGTTCCGATGAAGAGCACGTCGTAGGCCCTCTCCATGCCCTGGATCTTGTGAACGGCAATCTGCGTGTAGCGTACGCTGCGTTTCAGCAGCAAAGGGGCGCTGCGGATCACGCTGTCCATCAGGAAATGGTCCTTGACAAAGTTGAGCACCTTGTCAGGCATGTGCAAGGACGACTGGATTCCCATTTGCCTGGCGTGGTTGGTCACACACTGTGGGGGACGGGGAACAAGAGGTGGATAATTAAATACATATTCATCCAAAAAGAGAGGATGCAACTCACCGCTCCGGGCCGTGGTTCTGGTGCAGGGTGGTTGTATGTGTACCACTGCTGGGTCTCCCTGTTGACCTGCCTGTAGCGCCCACTGAAGGCCCGCTCCACCTGTGCCATGGTGAAGGCACAAACTGCTGAGCTGCCCGACGCGCCTTTGTACCTGCCAACAGTTACAAGCTTAAATAGTGTTGCGACATGAGTAGTGTCTTGACTATTTTGACAGTATTTATTTATTTATTTATTTTTTTAAACAGCCAAGCTCATAATACTTCATCCTGTCTTAAGTCTCTTACCACTGTGATGTGAAAACGCCGTAGAAGACGGTGCTCTCCCAGCTGTCTCCCATGGGCTTCAAGACAAACATGTCCTGGATGATGTTGAAAGGGAAACCGTCATCGGGCAGGGAACACAGGAGCTGGGCCTTCAGGAAGGTGGTCCACTTCTTCTGCAGCACACGCTCACCACCTCTGTCTCCCTGGAAACAAGCGTCAAGACATAATTAACAACTGCCGGCCATTTTGGACAATTTTATGTTTCCATGGGAACTGTTTGGGGAATGCCCTTTCCTGTCCACAGTGCACAAAGCAGCGTCTCTATTCTCGATGTGCGTGAGTTTGGTGTGGTAGAACCAGACGAATTCCTCGCAGAGGTGTTTGATGCTCACTGGGGGCAGTCATTCTGTTACGTGCTCGACGACAGATGCAGTTGCTTCTTTGTTCTTTTAAGGCTGCTGCCGGGTTTCGAATATGAAAGTTGCAGAAGATAGACATACGGCGGTACGACATAAGACAGAGGATCCAAATCACATCATTTGGATGCAAAAACGAGCCGATAAACCAATTGACAGTCCTATCAAGGCAATGGAAGTGGCAACCATTAAATATCATCAGCAACGGTGCTATGCAATGCTTAAAAACATCCGGGGCCACGTCGTACTTATGGTTATGCTCAGGGTGCAGATGATGACGACAAACCACATCAGTGCCATTCAAAGGGAAACATCAATAGCTTCTATCCTTTCTTTTGCAACATCAATAGTTTATCTTATTTTTGGGAAATGTTTTTTTGAAACACATGACCCCTGCTAGCTAGAAGATAAGCGGTACTGTGTTTGTTTACAAACAGGTGTGTGCCCCGTGAACGAGGCGGCTACACTTCCTGTGGAAAGAATAAAAAGTAAGAAGTATGTCTCCTTTAAATGAATCAAACTACAAACACTTCAGCTTTCTTGCCGTTGCCTCTTAAAGGAGAGGACGCAGCACAAATGTAAACAAAAGCCAAGATATTAATGAACGCTTTTAAAGTCGTGCCTCGCAGCTTTCCCCTGAGATTTAACGGAGACAGGAAGAATCCTCACACAAACGCTCGTCAGACGACCTCGTCGGAGCCTGGTAATGATCAGCCAAACTGTCAACACACGGCGAAGAGAGAAAGAACTAACAACCAGGTGGCTCGAGCGGAGGAGGAACCAAAAACAGCCAAATCTCACGACAGGTTGCAGCAGCGTCAGGGCCTCAATAACCCTGAACTCCCTTACAAGAGCGCAGGGGAGGTAAGAACGTGTGAGAAGTGGAACATTCCCTCCCGCCGCAAGCTCTTAAACATGAACAATCATCTCGCCGCGTGTGGAGGTGAAGCCTGGTGGGACTGCTGCGGGCCCGGGAGCCAATTAAGCTGCACTACAGTAGCCTTTGCTCATACAGTAATGAGGCGCGTGCATTCCAGCTCTCTCAGCTGTCCACTGCTCTTGTTAAGTATGCTTGTATTGTACTTTTGCATGGAGGCAACTCCCCCAGATAGCCGGACTGGGAAAATATGCCGCTAGGACATCAATAGTTCACATTATACATCAAAATCTTGGCAGAGACTACAGATAAGAATACCGTATTTTCCACAGAAAAGACGCACTGGATTATGAGGGCGCGCCTTCAATGAATGGCCTATTTTGTAATTTTTTTCCATACATTGGGCGCACCGCATTATAAGACGCAATCTACAATGAATCCACTAGATGGCGCTACGCACAAGGAAATGCCAACAGAACAATCAGATGTCAGTAAAACTTATTGAATAAAGCAGCGACACAGTTCACTTAACCAACAGCAAGTTATAACATTAACTCGTTAACGTTGACCTCTCTTGCCGCTGCTCTATTTCCGTGTTCAACTGCGTAACCCGATCGCCTTAAGTTTGAACTCTGCGTTGTCAGCATGTCTCGAGCAAGGAGCCATTTTGGGGTTGAAATATTACCGTAATGACCAATACACAAGGCGCATCGGATTTTAAGGCGTGCTGTGAGCTTTTAAGAAAATGGAAGGCTTTTAGGTGCGCCTTTTAGTGCGGAAAATACGGTAATGAAAAACTACACTACTTCGAAAAAATGGCAGAGATATTTTTGGGGTGAAATTTCAAGACTGAAACACTGAAACAGTTGGACATGTGCATTCAAAAGTTGATGATGAGGACACATTAAGTTCACCTGTAAAAGTTCTATCGGTGGGTATATACCAAAATATAGACAGCAGCCAGCAACAGTAGACGTATAACATGTCAAGTTACGCTAAAAGTGCATTGACATCAATGGTCAATATATGAAGAACAGAAAGATCGAAATAAATAAATTGGAACAGGTCATGAAGAATTAATGGATGGAATGTATATCAAGGGAACCCAGCCGCTTGGGGGCAGTGCCCTCCCCTGGGGGTGCACTGTTCCCCAGTGCCGGTCCCAAGCCCGGAGAAATGGGGAGGGTTGCGTCAGGAATGGCATCCGGCGTAAAACTTTTGCCAAGACGACCATGCGAGTTGGTAGGACGGTTTACAGGGGCGGATGGAAATTACTGACTCGCTGTGGTGACCCCTGAATAGGGACGTGCCGAAAGGAGAAGAAGAATGTATATCAAGGGAAATGACTTGACTAGAAAGCACGGCGTTTTCTTTTGCTCATGATAATATTAATATCCCAATATAGAAATGAAACTTTTAGAAGCAGTCTTCTTGCACATTCATCACACATAATTGAATTAGGGGAAGCGAAAAATCGACTTCTCCATTCAACAGAAAAATTATGTCCAATTATTGGTCAGACCCCTGATTAACGGCACATTTTTCATAAAAATAAACTTTTTTTTTCAGCTGATAAAAACAGACAGTAAATTAAAATGACACTTTCCCACAAAGCTCATCACATCCAAAAAGCATTTCCATGATAGTTTACGCTGAAATTTGTACGGATGGAGTTTGGCCACCCGATTGTCTTGCGGGCGTCAGTCAGATTCGGAAAATTAGTCCTTTATTGTTAACCATCAGCGCATAAATAATGCACATTATCGAAGGTCGTTGGCACTCGCTTTCCAGTCTCGACTGTATTCTGACTCTTTGTCAGAACAAAACGAACGAAGCAGCCAAATGTTGAAATGTAACTCATGTTTGCATTGCACATTTTTAGATCGCCAGCATTGACTGTTGACAGCTTTCCATGTTCTCCCATGCTTGTGTCCCCCCCTCTGGGCATGCTGGCTTCCTCCTACATTCCAAAAACATGCATGCCAGGTTTACGGAAGACTCTAAATTGCCCATAGGTGTAAATGTGAATAATTCGTTTGTCTATGTTTCCGTTGCAATTGGCTGGCCACTCCAAGGCTTCGATATCTGATGCTGTTGCATCGATAACAATATCATTTAATATCGCCATTCTCTCCCATCACTGATAAAGCTGATAAAGTTCTATGCTCCAGTGAGTAATCCACCACCTTTTCCACATCCCCGCATCCAGGGTACACACCTGAATAAACACAGGGCAGCCCGAGTGGGAGAAAGGGAGGAGGACATGTCGGAAAAGAAAAACACCAACTCTCGAGCGGAATGACTTGGCGAGGCAGAGCGAAGCGGTAGTAGAAACACGGCGGGAAACTTTCAAAGACGTCCAAAGATGGCCCCGCCTTATCTGACAAGCACACACTGAGCTCGGTGGGAGTCTGCCAAGATTAAATAAACACTCTTAAAAAAACATTGACAACAGCCTGGTGCATAACGCGGAGAAGGGAACGCGTGCATCCAATAAACTATGTCGCCGCAGGAAAGCCAAAAACGTTGTTTTGCTTGAATTACCAAATGCTGTATTGTTTATCTTATATTGTGACCATATACTTCTGCACACCAACAACAACAAAATCATGTCCCAATCGCGAATTAAATTTGCCTCAGAAAAAGCGAATTTATTACGCTGTCATTGATCAGAAATCCGAATGTTGCAGATGACGTTTCCACCGCCAGCCACGCCCGTCGAGCTCCTCGCTCACACTGAGCAGAAGAAAAGGCTTTAATACTTAACAAAAGCTCAATGGCTGATCACATTCCATTAAAGATAATTTGTGTCTCTTTTCAACTGTTCTGTATCAGAAGAGGCTTATATCATCGACCAACAAAATGTAAACCTCATGAAAATCGGTGATGAAATGAGCAAAGTATGACTTATTTTCAGTTTACATGCCTTGCTGTTGCTGGGAACGCTGGCCCCACCAACATGGCCGCCACATAGGCACGTCATTAACTACTTTCTAGTCAAATAGGTGAATCCGATGAATATCCCTGTTCATCGAAACTGAATCGGCCGCAACGTGCTTGCTTTTTAGATGGTCGTGGATCACTGTACTTCTGCCATGTAAGGCAAGTTCTGTGTCACAGGTTTTGCATTTATTTATTTATTTTTTTTAATCATTGACTCAATTGTGACTTGTCAGCATGTTTTTGGATTTGAAACGTAACCCACCAAAGTGGTCGTGGTGGTGTCAACCTCAACGGATAAAATTCTCCTGCATTTGCCGGGTTGGCAGGTGTTAATCCTTTCAGGGACAACGATGACTACAGTGGACAGCTTATGTTATTGGGTGCATGAAAGGGTTAATGTCACGCCCTGCCTGCGACCCTCGCAAGAGTAAATGCGATCGAAAATGGATGGATGGATACATTTTGGAAGTAACCAATGCTGGGGATGACACACACACACACACACACACACACACACACACACACACACACACACACACACACACACACACACACACACACACACACACACACACACACTCCTGATAAGCTTCGGATCGTAACAAACAGCAACGCATGCATGCAACACTAAAACAGCATCACAATGCAGTGCTTTGATGGTTCAAAGTATCATAAAGCAGCAAATCTATACGCTGCCTCCAGTGCAATAAAAGATGACTGGAGAGAGAGAGAGACACAGTTTGGGGTTACTTTCACAGTCACTTTCCATACGCAAAACGCAGACTAATCGGCACAACCTCAAGGAGCCAGCCGAGTGCCAAAGCCAAGCAGGAGTGAGTCATTAAGCTGTCGCTTAGATCAGGGGTCCCCAACCGCCGGTCCGCGGACCGGTACCGGTCCGCAGGGCATTTGGTACCGGGCCGCACAGAAAGAACTTGCCTTAATTCCGTTTTATTTCGGAATACGAAAGATGTTTTATTTTGAAAAATTACCGGATTCTCCGTTACATCCGTCTGTGTCACGCTTGACACACGTCAAGCCACGCTTTCCCCCGTCACGTGACCGATTCCGCTTAAAAACAAAACACCAGAGCTCGCAAAATGAGTAAAAAAACTGCTGGAGATCAAATGACAGCGGCCTTAAAAGTACGTTCGAGACAACTGGATTAAAGTTATGGCTGAATATTCTGAGATCACCACAGTAGGACTGTTGCTATTTCCGACATGCTACCTGTGGGAGGCGGGGCTTTTCTGCAGCAACGGCGACTAAAACAAAATTACGAAGTAGACTTGACGCAAAACACACACTTGAGGTGTCATTGTCTCCTATTACCCCGAGATGGGACCGTCTGGTTGCAGAAAATCAAGCTCGGGGCTGTGGTGAGTGGTCATTTTCATGCACTTTGAATTTGCATTGTATCGTATTTTGAAGGCATTAAACATTACCATAGCGATCAGAGTGTTGCGGCCAGATTAGACGCTCCTTGTGTTTATTATTATATTTCGAAAACACCACAGTTTTCATGCAGCTCATACCATATTATTTTGTTGTATTATTTCCGCCACACCTGATATGCCGGTTAGCAGCACTAGTGAACAACACGAACGCAGAATGCACCTTTCCACAAAAGAAGCCAGGTAGCCATTTCATTGAATAAGAGAGCAATTCAATGATGAGTGAGTTTGTATTGTGGCCAGGACTGTTTCCCAACACTTTCTGAACAAAAAAAAAAAACAAACATATTTTCTAGTAGAAAAACGCTCCAAACAATAATACTTTTAATTGGAATAATATGACTAAACTAAAAGTAAAAAGCGGTCCTCGAAATAATGACTTCAACAACAGTAAATGCGTACATAGTGAGAAACTCAAGTACTGTGTGATGTGTAACAAGATATTATTACATTTTTATACAGCGCATGAATGTCAACTGCATTCAAAATATAAAACAGGAATATGCAGGTTAAAATACGGTGCGGTTCATATGTTGCTTTTCTCCCTGCGCCTCTTGAATGCTCAGAATCCTTTCAACAGCAAGAAAAAGCTCATACAAAACTGAGTGGGTTGGATGACCTGCCGTTTGCATTCATGTGCTTTGGTTGACCTGCTGGATTTTTTTTTTCCACAGAAAATATCTACAAATGCAGCCCAAGACAGACTCTTGAATGTTTGTCAAATTCCAAGAGGAGTTCTTGGACGCCGCCATGTTTTACGTAAATAAGAGACATTGAAAACCTGTGCCGGCCCCCCGGCTCTGTTCGAATGGTCAAATGGAGTCAAACATCAATAATAGTTACTTTGGATTCGGGAAACAGTCATGTGACACAAGTTTCTCTGTGAGCCCAAATAAATCATGCAAGTCATCGTGAATCCCTGAAGATAAAAATACAAGCTGCAAGTGGAATGTAACTCAAAGTTATTAAAAATAGTATTTTTTTTCTAAATATTCTACATTTATATTCTAAATATTTTTCTAAATATAATCAAACAACAAAAAAAAGGATGTTGGATTACTGTGACTAAAAAAAAAAGTGGAGGGCGATTCCCATACAAGGACATTAAATATGTTGAAAACAAGTGTGTTCAGTCAGACAGAAAAGGCTAATGATGCACTATTTCCATCACGTTTCATACATGTTCCAACGTGGGAGAGTCCCACCTCTCTCTGAGTGGCAATTCTACCCACGTTTAAAGACAAAGGCAGCTGGAGGCCCGCTGCGTCTGGGGTTTTTTTTTTTTTTTTTTTGTGCGTGTGCAGCCGACCAGGTATCGTCTTACCTTGCACACGCGAGCGATCCTCGACACAATGGTGTTGTCGAAGAAGTCAAATTCCTTCCCCGCCTCGCTGAAGAAGAAGTAAATCTTGTCGTCATCGCCCACGGGGTTCCCTATTGGCTGACTCTCTTCTATGTAAGCCGAGCCCACGAAGATGGGATCTGGAGCAAAACAAAAAAAAACAAAAAAAAAAAAAAAAAAAATTAGATCATTGTGTTTTGCCTTTATACACGGGGAGTAGCCTTGACATTGCTTTAGTTGCAAAATGTAACAATACAGTCAGTCAATCCCGGGAGAGAGAAAATGAAGCTTAAACCCTGGCTGTAATTGCACTCAGATGTCTCATCAGCATGAATTACAGACAGACCCAAATACAAAAGAGGCCTTAATTGCGCACAGCACGCGGCGTCCTTTGGCAAAGCATTTACCAAGAGCATGTGTGCCCACTGACAGAAGTCAGCCATCTAAAGAGGAGCTTGTCCTCTCTGCACGCGCCCTGCTAATGAGCACTACTTCTGAACGCTCACCTGCTCAGTCGGACAGATACATCATGGATAATACAAGCCTTGTTTCACCCAAGTTTAGGTCGATGCCTTTGTTAAAAAAAAAAAAAAAAACAATTTAAAAATGCTGCTATTCGGTCAAAATCGAACCGAAATAAAGTGCAACAAATGTACAAGTGGACCGGATTTTATCCAAAACAGAATCATTGTATTTTATTGAAATATAATCAATCCGTGCATCCATTAGCTGAACCGCTGAGCCTCACGGTAGTTGCGGGCATGGTGGAGCCTATTCCGGCCGTCTATGGTCAGTACGCACTGAAGTGGTTGCCAGCCAATCGAAGGGCACACAAACAAACAACCATTCAAACTCACAGTCACAGAATTTGGAGTGTTCAAATAACCTACCATGCATTTTTTTGGGGCGGGGGGGGGGGGGGAGGAAACCGGAGTTTCCACACAGGAAAGCTGAAGCCCGGATTTGAACCCACGACGTCTGCACTTTGAGGCAGACACGCTATTAAGATATAATATACTCGACAATCAAGTTATGTATGTGGCGTGATTTGAGGGTGACTGGAGACTTTACCTTGCAGCCATTTTAAAGAGTTTTCCGTCTTTAGTGCAGTTCCTTGGCCCAAACTCTTATAAATGACAGGCTCGTTGCCTTGGAAGTTGCTGACTGTGCCTGTGTACAACTCACCATCTAAAAAAAAAATGAAGAAATAAAATGTAATATGTTGAAAATGGATTATCTAATAAAGCAGCCATAATCCATTAGAAAGAAATAATACGCCTGCGTTAAGGACGAAGAGAAAGTCTGAATGGCGGATTAGGCAAAGTGCTAATAACCAGCCCATTATTTACTGAAAGCTGAACCACAAACAGAAGATACTCATTTGCAATGCGAAGAGGTTCGGGGCAGTGGTTAGGAGGGTATGGGTTAGGATGGTTAGGGTTTGGGGGGGTTAGGGTTAGGGTTAGGGTTATAGGGGTTGGGGGGTGGAGTTGGGATTACAGTTGGGGGAGTTAGGGTTACAGGGGTTAGAGTTAGTGTTAGGGTTGGGGGTTAGGGTAAGGCTTGTAAGGGTTAAGTTTAGGGTTGGGGGAGTTAGGGTCGGGGTTAGGGTTGGAGGGGTTGGGGTTAGGGTTTACACATGATTCCGGCGGTACTATTAAGACTTCAAGGTTGGATGTCGTCAGGTTTCATCCCCACTAAATAACCCAATGCAAAGTCTACCACTGCTCATTCGTGAACTATAGTTTCTATCGCTGTTTTAAAAAAAGCATTTTGTGTTTTGTAATTTTCGTAATGCGCACCAACGATGATGGCAGTGGATTTATATTCAGGATTAAAAGGGCAGCGGCTGCGTCCGTCCTCCATCGCCACCTCGCCGACGTCATCCCTCGCCAGGGTGAACGTGGACGTGTTCTGCAGACAGACAGGCACAGTGTGATGATGTCATCCGAATAACAATGACCTCAGTAGCCTCAAGTGCTAATAATACACAAGCGAGCGCGACTTACTGGCAGTGTGGACGGTGACGACACAGGTTGTCATTTACCACACGTATGGTTTAAATTGTGAGCAAAATGGTCTTCGATCTGCCACATGAGCCTTAATGCTTTGCTTTGTAAGCATGCGGTGATAAAACATCTGTTTTCCTTCAGGTTTTTTTTTTTCCCGACAAAACGCAAAGGCATTTGTAATTGAATGAATGAGAATTAATGAAAACTGAGTATTGGTGCATGTCTCCACTCAGGCCTACTGAAAACAACGGTGTGTTAAGTTTACTCAATGGTTGCATTAAATAAAATCATCTGGAGCCAGACACATTTTTTTAAGTAGATGTACAGTATAGTATCCTTACTGGATTTCAGTGACGTCAAGCTGCCACATTTACATATATGGTATATATATGATTTTTTTCCCCACATTTGGAAGAGTCTTGGTTCCGATATCTGTTTCCATGGGATTTTTTTTCTCTCTTCAAGTTGACATGACACAAATCCCAATAGTACCAGTTGAGAGCAAACTGAGCCCCTGGAACCATGGAGCATAAATCCTTTGTATGAGTTCAACGTCCTGACTATCTGTCCAAATCATGTCTGCCTGTTAAAAGAAGAGCTATAAAAATAAACACGCGATCCATGTGACAGACCGTCCTGCACTATGTCAACATAAAGAGCGTTCACCCCGTCCTCCTCAGTAGAAGAGGTCCTGTGTTATGGTTTCACTTTTTTGACGTCAAAAGCGGGTAAAGTTTACAGAGCTGACGTTAATGTCACCCCACTGTTGCTCTCCCGTCCACTCTTGACGTGCTCCTCTGTTAGAAAAACATGTCTGCCAATGGAAGTCGCACGCACGCATGCATGCGAGCGCGCATACACACACACACACGAACGCACGCACGCACGCACGCACGCATGCACGCACACATATACACACACACACGATCTAGTTCCCCCCTGTTGGCTTGTCTGGATAAATTGCCTGAGCAGGGTCCTGTCACGCTTAGAGGGGAGGGGGAAAAAACCCAAAATAGATAATACTGTACAGTGGAACTTCTCTGATTTTCTGGATAACATGCCCCAAAAGGCTAACAAAACCTCTTCATGCGTAATCTCAGACTTCATGGCAGTAGCGTTGTTCTTTGAGATGCCTACTCAGCGTGCATAACTTTTTCTTTGGCTTTTTGTTGTTTTTTTTGGGGGGGAGATGTCACCATTTATCATGCAGATGTTAACAAAAATAGCAGGTAGATACCATTTAACCCCCCCACCCCCACCCCCAACTTTTTTAAGTGAACTATGTTCACTTAGTTGTCAGGTGTAAGTGGTGTTAATTTATTTTAGTTTCACTGAGTTTTTAATTTTATTGTGCTTAACTTATTTTTCCACTTACATGACAGTTAGGGTGTTAAAATGTCACTTCGAACATCACCTATATGGTTACATCACCTATATGGTTGAGAAAGTTTTTATGTTGGCATTCGTTTTCCTCTTTTACCAATTCACTCACTTGACATTATTTCCTGTGCGAAATTTGACTTTGACACATGAACAACTTGAAAGTCAACAGTATCATGTTCTACTTGGGGAAATTCTGTAATTCTAAGGTTGGTTGTGAAACACATGCTTGAAGACTTACTATGTAGCTGCAAACTGGACTGAAAGCGTAGGTGCCGCACACGTACAGGTGCGTGCTGTTGAGACGCAGCAGAATCTTGATGTAATTGAAGCAATCAGTCTAGTTGAGAAAGGGTGGGAGGGAAAAAAACATAAAGGGTGTTTTTCTAGCCTGAAAGCTCTTCTGCACATACACACAAAAAAATCTGAAATGATACACTAAAGCTCACAATAAAATGTACCGGGGATTAAAATAATAATAATAATAATAATAATAATAATGATAATAAAGTATTCTAATGGGAGAAAAGCTGCTGCAGGCTGGCTGGAGTTAGAACGACAGCAGACGTGCGCAGTGCACGTAGAGTAGCAGGCCATGTCGCCTGGGGATGCAACAGCTGGTATGACAACAAGGGAGCACATACACACATGGGGGGGAAAAAAAGAGGAATTTCCAAATGCACACCTGATGATTGTGGAAGATTTTGAAAACAGAGTAGTTGAAGGTGACACCAAAAGGCTGTCTTAAAAGTGTAGAAGTAAGCATGTGGCAACACGCTCAAAATGCATGTACAGCAATGTATTTTACCTTCGATGTGAACGGTGGACGAGAAGAAAGTTGACACCCTGGACTTACTGCCAATCTGCACAGCAGTCAACTTTGCGAATTAGGGCCCAACTGATATGTATTTTTTAGGCCAATGCCAAGTTGATGATTTTTGGAAGAGTAAAACTCCACTAATCGATTGAGGGCCTGATCAATTTAGAAAAAAAAAGACAATTTGGGTGCTCCGTTAACACTTGCATCAACAAATATATTAATAACAGGCAGAAAGTTTGAATGTTTTACAATACTTTGGGGGGGAATGAGGTGAGTGTGGTTGTTTGAATGTCATTATTATCTTTGTTTTATGTTGAAATGTATTCATGTGTTTCAAAACAAAAGGGAAAAAAGAATCAGAAATGAATTGCCCAATTTTTTATTTTATTTTTTTGGCAATATCGATCCAATATTGTCGGCCCCAATTTGAACCACCACGCTACCTCTGATCCAACTACTGGCCGATTACGAACTCAACCAGTTTGATACTGCTTATCATGTTCAGAGTTAAACGAGCTGAATGAGGGCATCAGGTGGTCAGAACCCGAGACTGACTGACATTCTGCATTCAGCTATGAGAACTACTACACTATCAGTGGTCCATTTGTTGCCAATCTTAACAACAGTCACATGTGAATCACTATGTTGCCGAGGGTCAATTTCCTACACATCCACCGACATACTTTCTCCAAAAATTATCCGGTTCAGGGTTACGGCAGCTGATTTCGAGCTGAAATATGGTAGAACCGGCGCATCTCACCTTGAGGTTCTTCCCTTTGAAGCTGCACTCTTCTCTCTTTCCAAGCGGCGTAGCCCAAGTTAGCTGAAGGCCAAGAAACGTCAGAATAAATCATTAAAAAAAAAAAAAAAAAAAAAAAAAAAAAACAGGAACATGTGCTTTGAAAAATTCATACGGTGAACTTTTATATGTTGCTGTTCAAGAGAATAGCATCTCAGTCAAACTGCCACACCCACCTGATGTTGAGAATTCTGCGACAGTACGGAATAAAAATTCGGAAAAATGGAAAACTATCCATACAAAAGTATATGCCAAAAATATCATTCATGTTATATACAAAATGTAGATTTAAAAAAATTGAATTCTATTTGCATGATTTTCTGTGGTGGGCAGGGGGGTGAATTATTTGACTTCGACAGCAATATGTTGCATGTGCGCGAGTGTCTGACACAGTGACACACTCACATTTTTCTGCAGCTTAATCCTGCTGATGTCGGAGAGGCTGAGGGCAAACAGCGCCTCCCGGGCCCCCACGTACAGCATGTCGTCCTCCTGGCTAAGCAGCAGCGATGTGTAATTGAAGACGCCCTCGGCAGAGAACCTCTTGGCCGATCTCTCCTTCGCATCTGCGGGAGACGAATGCGAACGCCGTTGTTATTAAAAATACTGTATTACGAAGAAGCTCAGGTTCAGCTCGATAATGTGAAAATCACTCAGGCGGTCAGTTCAACGACGGATCATTTATGGGTGTGATCAAGGGCACATATTGTGAAAAATTGGCTCGTATGTACAACTATTATGGTCTTTAGAATATATGCCCGACCTACCAGGAACTGTGAAATTAAAAAATAAAAACTTAAAATTATAGTCCTGTTTCTGAAAGCGTGTCTGTCAATGAGCAGTTTTGCACTTCCACTGTTACATAACAGAAGTTGTCTTCACCCATTACATGATCAGCTAGGGTGGAAGGAATACCCCGAGTCTCTTCAAGTGATGGGCAGCTGGCTTATACTGTCTGAAACACGATCACGCAGCCATACTGTCATGCAAAAACAAATGCATTCCCCAAGGTTTGGGCCCCTGCTATTATGTGAATGCCAAAAGGTAACCAAAGATTTGTCAGTTAGACCGGTCCTTCTGACATATTTGGGCGCGGGTGACCCCCGTGATTTTTTTTTCTCCTTCAGTTGAATAAAGTGTCATTTCACATCCACTACAGTAGGTGGCAGCGGTGCTCTGAAAAAAAATATTGTCCTGATGCATGCTGTTTTTTTTTTTTTTCTTTTTTAAATTCTTGAATTTGGTTCTACACGTAGAAACAATCAAGGAGCAGAAGTACATACTTGCTGGCAATATGAAAGCAAGCCCAGACACAGAAGAGGAGAGGGGCCAAAAAGACACGGCGAGATGAATTCCTCCATGTGGAACGCACAAGATCCAACCCACTGTCATGCATACACTTGATGGGGAGATGACAAGAGGCAGCCTGCGAAGCCTCGGTGGTCTTAAAGCTCTGGATCTGCCTTCAGTCGTTATGGTAGCGAAAGTTGGACTAAATATTGGACTGGCGATGGGGCGAGATATGGTTTGGCTAACTTGCAATAGACAGCCCCTAAAAGACTGATGATTTCAGCAAGCCAAGAAATTGCCAGCGTTCAGATAGTTTGACAAGATATTAACCCTTTAAGTGACAAAATAGCAACATTTATACTATCTTTACCATTTTCAAGCTACATCCTTTTGAAATAGTGATATGAGAACTGACTATTTAAAAAAATGGTGCCGAAAAGGTTAGTATATCTTGGAACATTTTTAATTCGGAAGGAAAAAAAATGTCCTTTAACATTTATAATCCTGACAACATTATTCGGGGCCTGTGGCTGTGTTTGCTGCCTTGCAAAAATAATTGTTGGACTGCATGTCATTGCTACAGTCAGACAGCCCAATGAGGCTAACGCTCAAAAACTCCTCCGGCGGAAAAACATTTGCCAAGCTTTGTTTCGAACCATCTGAAGCCAACTCATGGCAGCTAGTGCAACCTACATCAGCCAGCAATGTGGAATTTGAGCTTGGAATTGTGGCATTAATATGCCGTTTGCTCACACCTTCCTCTGTGATAAGCATGCTGATACACTCCACCACATACTTGGCAGGCAGAAAAGAAAAAAATATGGACTAATAAAGACTTTTGATGCCAACTACTTTCATCGCTTTGGATTGATGACATTCATTGGGTCTCTTGCTTTGGCAAAAAGAACATTTTGGTTGACAAACTACCAATTGTCAGCGGTTGAGAGGTGAAATCGGGTGAACATGGAGAATTTTGGCTCTGATGCCATTCAAAGTCAATGAGGTTCCTGCCCCAACAAAGACAATATCTGACAGTTTGAAAAAGATCGACTCGGGTGTGGGGGAGGGGGGTGATGGGGGAACAAAAACAGAAATGTGAGTGGTAGTGAGCGAGAAGCAACATGCTGATTCCCTGCTGACCCAACATACTTTAACATCTACGGCAAAGACCTTGAATGAGCCTATAAAACTTGTTTATAAAGGTTACAGAGAACTGTGGTAAAATAATAATTTAAAAAAAACCCACAAAATGACACAAACGACATCAAGCGTCATGGATATGGCACCAAGATCAATCGACTTCTTTCCACAACTAAATTACTACTCTGTACAAAAGGGGCACACAGACCAATTTAAGTACTTAACTTGGAGCACTCGCTGAGATGTTTCAATCGTACTTGATTCTATCTTTGAGAAAGCTTTTTCCACCGTAGGACAAGCGGTTTGCTTTATGGATGTTTTTTTTTTTTTTGGGTCAAGGTTTCCCGATTGCTTCTCGTTGTAAACATAGTTGAAATTGACCGTGAGGCCGAAAGCCCAAATGCTGCTTGTCCAAATAAGATAAACAGCTCGTAAACACGAATATTTGCTGCACTTCAACTCACACTCAAAGCACTTTGGCATGAAAATCAGGTCTTCCTGCATAGGAGAGAGAGAGCCAGCTGCACAGGACTCATCTTGTCTAAAACATCACATTTCAAGGACTTTTCCACAGGAAAAGCCCTCACTTTGTTGAATATCCTGCAACATCTGGAGTCAATGTAGAGAAAAAGTCTGTCGTTAAAGTCAATAGGCGTGGATGCAATGTATATTATTTAAAAAAAAAAAAAAAGATTTTATGCTTTCCTGTTGTCATGAGCGGGTCATTGAGAACACTAAATAGTTTGTTTCAAACTTTCATTTAAATTAAAGACAACATATTTAATGAGTTAAGAAAATAATTGAGAGTTAAAAAAAAAAAGAAAAATACAATAAAAAATGTTAAGCACTGTCCAAACGAGATAAAGAATCTATGAAAAGAAAATTTAAGAACTTAAAATTGGAAAAATTATTGAAACCTAATCTGGAAAGAAGGTATAAATCCCAATCCAACAAAAATAAATACAATTTATCACAGTAAAATATAAGCACTTAAAAATAATAAATCACTTTAATCGCCACCTTTCCTCACAGCAAGCCTGTGTCCCCTGGGTTCTTCTGGTCATTCACTGAAAAAAAACCCACCTTCCCAGTCACACATTAACACCCTGACACACATCACTGCGAGAGACAATCGCATAAAACCAGAGGAGGGCAAACTCCTGAAAGTAGCAGTTTGTGAGGAATGGCCATCGTTTCAGACGGTAGTCGGGGTAACATTAAGAGGTCACGCAAAAAAAAAACAAAAACAAAAAAAAAAAAAAAACATGTCACTTCTTGAGGCTGACCAGCGCAAACCTAAACTATGTCTTGAAGAGGTTATTTGTGGTTGGAGAGAGCGAGCGAGCGAGAGAGAGAGAGAGAGAGAGAGAGAGAGAGAGAGAGAGCCAACCTCCCCAACAAGACTGCACATATCCATGATCCATCCATCTGCCTCTTGTTTCATCAGCTGCCTGCCAAACTCAGCTCTTCACCTCTGCTCATTGCCACACTCATCATCAATACTGCAGGTTCTAATGTGTACAATTAGCCACACGTTGCCAAGGGACAATGCTGAGTGTGGACCCAGTCTCGGTCGGCCATCACAGCTGCACAAAGTGAGATGGAGGGGGGGAAAAAAACATTGACCCGTCCTTTGCTCTTCCGAGAAGCTCTTGTAGGGTGTCTGTGGGAAGTTTCGTCCATTCAGCCAGATGATTATTTGTAAGAAAGTCTGACATTATTTTTAGAGCGGCATCCAAGTTTGCTTTTTGCTTGCTTTGTGTACTGTCCCAAGACTTTTGTCCATAGTGTGGAAGTTCGCAGTAAATCGAGTGAAATTCAATTCCAGCGGCTTCTTCATTCAGGAAAACCCGCCATCAATAAATAAAGAACGCGAGTAGCAAGTCGTCTAACTCGGCATGTAAAAAGCGCAGCTGCTCCACAGTGAGCATGTGCAAAATGTCCGCAAGACAATGAGATACACAGTCTCATTTCAACTCCCGTAATGGAATGGCGACCCTCCAAATGTGACTGCAGTAAATATGTAAATTATATCATCTTGAATAGCAACAGGCATAACTATTCATACACACATATCTATCATCTTGCGTCAAATAGTGTTCAATTTTGCTCCCGGAATAAATCCTGCGTTACCCATCAACTTTGCACGCATAACAATCCAAACAATGCATTTTTAATGCAAGCCTTACTCATGACGCCATCCGCAAAAAAAAAAAAAAAAAAAGCACGGCAAACCAGAAAGTGAAGCAGATGTTAGACGTAAAGCCGAAAACAAAATCTGTACAAACGCCACATTTTTGCAGAATTGAATGCATTTTTCAGTAGGTGTGGGCCTCTTAGATCGAATCATAGCTTAGCTCCGGCGAACAGAAATCATCCACCGCCGCCAGTTTGCATACAAAGAGCAGTCGCACAGGCACGCAAATGAATCTGCGCATTGCATTCCAGATGTTCTGTATCGGTGAGTAGCGCCAAGGGTGGGACTGCTAATCGTTCCGACGAGGGCTGATTGTAAATATGGCTCACATTGGCTAAAGCAGCACGAGGCAGTGATCTGCAGCTTTGGACACTGGATTAGGTACACCTGCACGGTCTCATAGCGTCCTGTGCCATTTCTTTCCCTTACAAATATGATGTCGCTTAGCTTTGATGGATGATCGAGGCTTCGAAAAAAAGCAAAGAAAACATATCGATCTGAATTTTTATCATTCGGTCATTCAACCGATAGAAGATTGCTTCTGACCTTCGAGAGGAGCGCCAAATTTCAATATTCATTTTTAACAAATCACATCAAGTCGTACGTCATAATGAAGGGCTCCATGACAGCTTTTTAGATTTAGTAGATTGTCACTAAAGCCTAACATGATGACGACATTATCAAAGAAATATGTTTCGTATTACGTCATAAAGGGCGGTTCGGTCATCCGGTGTTATCGTGTCGACCTCACAGTGCGGAGGTCGCGGGTTCGATCCCAGCTCCGGCCTTCCTGTGCGGAGTTTGCACGCTCTCCCCGTGCCTGCGTGGGTTTTCTCCGGGTACGCCCGTTTCCTCCCACATTCAAAAAACATTCATGGCAGGGTGATTGAACATTCCAAATTGTCCCTAGGTGTGAGTGTGAGCGCAGATGGTTGTTCG